AGTGACGATCCCTGCAGATGCTATGAATGTACGAAGATTCGAGATTTCTTCACAAACATTCGATAAGCAAAAGTATCCTTTTGCAATGTAATGACAAATGCAACTGATAGTCAAACAAAATATAAGATATTGTGAGAAAACCCTTACCACCACCAATCTCTAAACTCAACAAATGCCCTCGACTTTATTGTATTGATAATTGGTTAAGGCAGAAACTTGATCTCTCCAAACTAACTACATTCTGAATTAATATTATCATTGTGTCTGCTATCGGTGGCATTACAGAAAACGTCCGATAAAGAATATTTTAATTAACCCAAACCGTTATCCAATAAAACAACAATCTCTCAATACAAAATTTCTTGCTTATAGTTCTGAAATCTGTGTTGAATGTTCTGTTTTTAACCATGAAACAGTTAATAAACCAAATTGAATCTTATTCGCAACAAATATCGTTCTGAATCTTTGATCTTTGTTCTACCGTGAACAAATTTTGTATTATCGAACAGTACCATCATATTGTTATTAAGTAGTGGACGAAACACATTCAATTTATCCTCAGCCAAAATAATCGAATTTAGCTCCTTAATGGCGTCTTGTTTTTCAGCTGTTTCATTGATTAATCGGTTCTGATCAATAATGTCCCATCGATAACGTAGAAGATCATCACCCAAAATAATTGATCCACAAATATAATCAGTATCACCTTTTCGAAAATCAGGCGGTACATTTATTTGATATGTTTCAAATCTCAATAAATGTTTACTTTTATCCGATAATTTATTAAGAATGTCAGTAGTTTTAACCATTTGAAATTTACCGCCATCTTCGCTGCGGTCATATTGAACAATGTAAAGTGCAACAAATTTTGGTGCATCTTGTTCATATGAACAATCTGTATGAAAAACAAGTTCTCGATCTAATTGAGAAGCTTGCAGTTCTGATTCAGGTGCATCCATTTCTAAAACTTTTACAGGCCATATAAAAGAATTTTCTTCATCACTGTACGGACAGCAAACACCACCAATTCGTTTAATTATATCCAGGGCTGCTTTGTCACAGTCATTGTTTGGAATCTGTTCACATTTCACTTTGACGTATCCATCTTTTTCCAATTGATTTCGTACATCTTTCATCAGTTTATCATCAAAATTAGTGCAATTAAGCTCAAAATAACTGTCTGTATCCATTATACGTGTACAGTTACCAGGAACACAGTTTACTAAAGAAATATTAGACTTGAAATTTTCCATATAGAAAGAGTTCGTTTTTTCATTAGTAAGTAGTTAACATATTGATTTTTGTTCTCTGTATGCAACTGAACTACGCGAGGCCTACAACATTATGTATGACAATATCACTAAGAATATTGAAAAGTTATGGAGAGTCAAACCTACACCTGCGATAGACATCGCGTTGTCTTAAACAGTGGGATGGAACGATGAAGAGGCAACAGGCTCTGTCAATAACTTGTCGAGACCTCATATGATCGACATTCAGATAATTCAACTGACGGTCCGTCAAAGTTCACTGAATAGCGGCAGAAATGACGACACAGGCAAACAGTGTTTTCTGACTTTGATAAACTATCCATATATCCCGTGACTGTAAGCGGAGCCAGTTTTCGCTGATCTTAAGTGTTTTTCGTGAAAATGGAAGTCGAAAATCAGAAATAAAATTGCTAATCTGCCTTGCATGCAGTGCTGGTTAGAATGACATAGACTGCATCTTCTTTGATCTTTACTAAAATGAAGTCTGTTTGAGTTTCTGGTGGCTAATAAGCAATTCTTTTAGAGCAGAAGTCTTACTTATTCTTCTAAAATCGCTTAAAGTCTTAGGTATTTGTTTGCACAGACGATTAGTCATCGGTCGCTTAGTTGCTTTCACAAATCTATCTAATCGTAAAACTCGTAAAATTCAACATAATTCGCGTACTACTATTTTTGCCATGAGTGGAGTTACACATTTAACTTCGAGTAAAAGTAAGATTTTTACAGCAGCTTTATATAAAGTCATTTGAATATTTATTTATTCCAATGTTTCGAAAATTTATATTTTCATTTTCCAGGATAAATAGAATGTTATGAAAGCACAACAAACTGATTTTTCATTTCTAGATATACATGAAAACAGAGATGAAATGGAAAGAAAAAGAAACAAGGAGAAATATGACATGCTTTTCCTTGTTTCTTTTTCTTTCCATTTCATCTCTGTTTTCATGTATATCTAGAAATGAAAAATCAGTTTGTTGTGCTTTCATAACATTCTATTTATCCTGGAAAATGAAAATATAAATTTTCGAAACATCGGAATAAATAAACATTCAAATGACTTTGCATAAAGCTGCTGTAAAAATCTTACTTTTAGTTCGTTTATTACCCATCAATAACTCAAACATTTAGTTCCGACAGAAGCTATGTTAACTAGCTGTTTTGGTTATTGATGATAGTAGAAAAACTTTATCGAGTAAGAAACACAAAAAAAACACAAACTAAAGTCTATCGTATACGACAGGTGTCCTACCAAGAACATGTGGGAAATGGTCACAATTTCAGCCAGAATATCTTACGTACCTGTTTATGAATATCTTACGTATTTCTGTTTTTTAATAGAAATAAATCATTACCAATCAGTGCATTCTTCACACCTATATATAGCATCTCTGCTTCCTATCTCTGCTTCCTAGTTCTACTTCCTACTTCTACTTCCTATTTCTACTTCTTATCTTTTTAATTTTAGTTTTAATTATTAAAAAGATAAAAAGGAAAGGAATAGAAGATCTGTTGTTACTGCAGCATTTTGTTTCATGAATAATATTTTTTGGAGTTTTGTAGAAATATGAAGATAGGAAGTAGAGATGCTATATAGGAGTGAATTGTATAGCCAGTGTACGGTTGATTGTCGGAGAAGGTTTTGTCTATAAAAACTGTTCTGTCCAACAGACTTTAAATTTCTTTTTTTATGTTTTTGTTTGTTTGGAAATAGTCATTCACTTGCGAAAAAAAGTGTTCTCAAGTAGATACCGAGATGTACATCGATCAAAGTTGACTGATTTTGTTACCAAATAAAGAAAGAATCAACTTTTTCTTTCATTCATTTAAGTTATTTTAAAAACCTGTGTAGTTCCTTGAGCCCGAAAAGCAATACGTGGATCATTACGTGATCCTCGCATAAATAGACTCATCAAATATTGAATAATATTTCGGATTGAATGTATTAAATTAAAATTGTTCACAAAAGGCATTTGTTGATGTGGTTATTGTTGTCTGCCATGTCGAATGTTTCGTCCATAACGAAAATCACAGTAATAATTATTTGGCCTCTGTTGTCGTCTTAAATTCATCGAAAACAAACATATCATAAGAACTTTGATAATTACCATCTCAACCTGCCATTTGATTTCTATTCCTCTCACATTCGTTTTAAACCTACAGGATCTAAAATCAATCAACTCTCAGAATTAGGGTTGGTTATAAGAAAGATAAGCGTGGTCGATGGAAAGTATATTCTAACAATACAGTCTTTTATTTCAGTTAGTTTTATATTGTAGCAGATTTATTACATAGGAACCTCCGGTTTATGAACGTTTTACTGGAATATATAATTTATGAATCAT